AGATATTGATAAAATAAATTAATTTCAAGAAAAGTTTTGATTAAAATAATTTGTTAATGGAATTTTTTGTTAAAATTAGAGACAAAAAATAGCCTTTGCTTTGATAGCAAATTCAAAACTAATTGAAGTTTCTATCAATTTTAATTTAATTATATCTTTCTAGCACTATTAGAAAATTGCGACAAGCTAGAAAAAAACTATCTTTAATATGTAAATACATATGGAACAATAATTTTATATAAATTTTTCTTTAATTATAACATTGGGTTAAAGACCTACTATGGGTTAATTTTAATAAAGTTTTAGCAATATTATGTATATGAGGTCATTATAAAAAAGGCTCGCCAGACAAAGGACTATTGGTAGCAATAGCACCAACATTTTTTGGAGAAGACTAAATAAAATCTATTTAAGTTCGACATGCAAAAACGTAATCAAATGTTTTTCATTACGATTACTGTGTGTGTAGCTGGCCATCGTTCACGGTAACCGTGAGTATATCGAAAGTGATAAGAAGCCCTTAGTCTGTTGTTGTATGGACACAAGTCGTAAATTTTCTTACTTTTTTATTTTTTAATTTCCAACATGCGATAATTTTTCATAAGTAAATCTAATCAATTGAAAAAAAACGCTCAAACGAAATTGTTTTAACTAACAAGAGAACGTTTAGATGGAAATTAAAGGAATTAAAAGTTTTAACGATATTTGATACTCAAGACGAATTTGATGTTTATGTATATATGTATGGCAAAATAAAAATCAGATTTTATATAAGTTTGGCCTCCGGTAGGTTAGTTGCCACCTGAGAAACTGGTAAAGGAGTCCTGTTATAGGCATAGGTGTATGTCTTCGGATTTGATGTATATACATCCTCCTTTCAAGCTAACTAACGAACTATATAAGTTTTCGTATTTGTGCCTTCTTTTAAGAAATTCGATTTGCAGCAGATTTATAAATACATATTGTATTACAATATATATTTTAACTAATTATTACAAGTTTTTTAAAGAAATTTTCAAACATTAAATAATAATATCGTTTATGTTTGAAGAGCTCCAGTAATTTGTGTAATATTTAACAAATTACAATTCTCAAGTTATGGCTAATATTCGAAAATCAATTAAGTCTTTAAAATCTCTGACTATAGCACATGCCACTCCTCTCTTGATTTTAAAAAGGTAACAGTAATATATTATACTCTTATTTTTAACTCTTTTGTCGACCATGTGTTTGTGTATTTGTGTGAGGTTTTGTTTAGGCAAACCTATAAAATACCAAAGAATGATACAAAAGAACTCATAGTTTCGATATTGATTGCTAAGAATTTGGGCGAAAATGAAAGTTGCGTGTTTGGTTGTACTCTTGGCTGCTGTCGCCTGTGCCAGCCCTTCCGGTTTGGCAGAAACCTTAAAAAGTAGAATTATCTCCAGACCACCTGTAGAAGTAAGTCCTTTCATTATTGGTGGCGAAAATGCCACTGAAAAGTCTGCTCCCTACTTGGTATCTTTGAGCATTTCCTCCATTGCTTATGCTCACAGTTGCGCTGGTACTATCATTGGCAAGGAATGGGTTTTGACTGCTGCCCATTGTGTCCAAGAAATGAAAGAATTGGCTGGTGATATTGTTGGTTTGCCAGTTTATGCCGGTTTAACCGACCGCAACAATTTGACCGAAGCTCAAGTCGTTACTGTCGATTTTGCTTTCAATCACAAGCAATTTACTGGTTTGGAAGGCTCCGATGATATTGCCTTGTTGCATGTCTCCCCCAGTTTTGAATTCAGTTCCAAGGTAAAACAAGCCGCTTTGCCCTACAAAAACGAAGTTTACAACAATGAAACATCTGCCAACTATGGTTGGGGTTTGGATGATCCCGAGGGTGTTTTGTTCGTCAACAACTTGCAAGTTGCCAAATCTGAAATCTTGAGCCAAGAAGAGTGCAAAGAATCTTTGCCCTCGGATGCTCCCCTTACCAGCAAACACATTTGCGTTAAAGTAGCTGCCTGTTACGGTGATGGTGGTTCCCCTTTGGTTGTCGAACGTCCCGGTAATGTTGCTGAATTAGCTGGCATCACCTCTTGGGGTTACTTGCCATGTGGCTACAACAATCGTCCCACAGTTTACACCGCTGTTTCCCAGTATGTTGATTGGATCGCAGAAGTTCAATGGGCTTATTATGTTTTGCATTAAAATCAATGCCGTAAATTATTTACTCATTTAAACAAATAAACATTTAAAAGAGAGGAGAAACACCTCAAGAAAAAAAAAGTAAGAAAATCAAATCTTATCTTGTTTTATTTCCCCCGTTAAATTATAAGGCGTCACAAATTAATTTATCACTAACCAGATTGCTAACGCAGCGATGAGTTTCAGTAGCAACTATCTTAATATTTATTGCATTGCGATAACAGAGGCGGATTATTTTCAAGAAATTTAATTGGAAACAAATTGCAAATACGAAGTAGGCAAAATAGGTTTAATAATACTCTACTCCTAGGATTACATATGTATGTATGCATGTATGTACATATATATGTATATTTTAGGTATAATTTATAACGTTTATTGAATTATTAATAGTTTAAAATGCTCTAGTTATTTATGAGTTTTAATTGAAAAAATCGAATAAATCGCGCGCCTAACGATTGGAATAATCTTGTTTGCTTATTTTCCTTATTCTTATTAGTTTGTATAAATATGTATTGATATTGTATAACCATTTTTTACAAGATCATTACGTATTTGACCGCTCAAAACCACTTAGGTTATTAATAAATTTATAAAGCATCTAACTAAATAAGTTAAATGTTAAATATAAAATTGTGCAATTTATAGTACATATTAGGTAATTCTCGGATTTTATAAGTAGAAGTAGTTAGTTACCAATTCGTGTACTTAAGTTCTATATGTTCTCAAACATAGTGTAGGGTAAATAGCACAAAGTTCCTTTTACTTAGAATTCTTTTTTAGTCAAGTAGAAAATGAGCTACTAAATCATTATTATATTGTATGTTTTTATATTATATTTTTATTACTTTTATGGGAATTATAAATTCTTCGAAATATTGTTGTTATTGTTGTTAAATACATAAATATTTATATTGCTAAAATTAGAAAAGCGTGTGTTTTTCTTGTTTTTTCAGCGGAAGCAAAAAAATCAAGTGTCAACATGTTTTTTGTAAAAAGTTGTGAATGAGATTAATAAATTTTGGGTTTTTACCAAACATATTGTTATTACAAAGTATGTGTTTAAGTGGTGGGCCAAACAAAGATAAATATTTTGTAAAGAATTTTCATTTTTTTCATTGAAATCATCATTATTTTCACGTACTTTTTAACAACAACATCATTATCATCAACAGCCAATAAACCAACTGGAGATTGTAATAATAAACACAATATGTGCAAAAATTCACACACATACACAAACAACTATATAATATAATGACCTTAAATGAAAAATTATTTCAAAATTAACAGAAAATAAAATGTAAGCATGTGAAACAAAAATGGAAATACTATCCGTGTAGCTTATTTGTGTATCTGTATTTCTTTGGTATTTCATATCCGTTTCCATTTCACAGCACACGCCCTAGAGCAAATTAATAAAGCATATGAGTGCAAATAAACACCTTGTCGGAGACAAAAAATTAAAGGAACAACTTTATGAGACGGAAAATCGATATTATTTGACACAATTTTACAACAAAAGGGGAAAATCTTATTTACTTAATTTTTAATTATGTTTTAAAAACCTGTCATTGAATTTTTCGAACACACAAATATTTCTGTAATAGAATGAGAATTATTAAAGTATATAGTGTCTGTTTTGTTGGGAAATTTAAGGTCAAAGTTAAACTTTTAGACGTTATAAATATGCGGATTTTTTATTTAAATCTGCTTAAATAATTTTGTGAACTGGTTCTCACTTTATCAATTCTATAACAAGCTATAATAGAAAAGGTTCCTTTAGAATCGATTGTTTCTTGACAAAATAAGTTAATTCTACAACAGGTTGAAACAGCAACAAGTAAAATAAAAAGAACAAATTTAGAGAGTTTCCATTCAAATGAAAAAAGTGTTCTACAAACGGCTCCAAACAGGTGTAGGGATTAAAATTTTGAAAATCGTTGTTAACAAATATTGACTTTTGGTCAATGAAATTCATTTCTGAGCCATCAGGCGTTGGTAATATTGAATATAAATATTCCTGAAAGTACTTAAATTGTTTACAAACCAGAAAATTATAGCACTACTCCCCTAGTAATGAGTTTAAAATCTGTATTTATGATTGTGTATGTTACTTCATTATGTAACTTATTCAATCAATTGCTAGTGAATTTGTTCCCAAAATTGCGCATGCATAATGATATAATTTGCATATTTGCCAATGAATGGATGTTTGTTGTCATATAAATTTTAACATTCTATTCGTACAAGATAGTGTATATCTGCAATCATAGTTGGTATTGTTATGGTATCGCACCGAGTAGAATTAGAATGTTAACCCAATACATTGTAAACCCAATTACATAAGAGCCCCTAACTATCCAACATACTTACGTATGTATGTATGTATATGTATCATGATACATAAGAGTATCTTATAATGTCAAGGGTTACGGTTATAATACAAGTACTTCTTCATATCACAAGTAATGACAATGAAATCAATTTAAAAATTGAAGGATTGGTTGATTCAATTTATGGAAATGCTTTTATCGATAATCAAAACTATTGTATAGTAATCGATTTAAATTCGAATTTTATAATAAGGAAACAAATTTGTTAAGTGTGTGCAAAAAATCTTTTTTTTTTAATACAAGTTGTTTATACATACATATGTAGGGTTCTTTATTTTATTACAGAAATTCTTAAAAGTGTTAATATTTCCTTTTTTTTTGCTTATTTGTTTGTTCTATTTTCGTATGCAAAATTTCTTTTTTATATAAATATTTATACAACTTTCAATATAAAAATGTTATTTAAATTTGCCTTTTTAGGACTCTTGCATGGGCGTGCCAGTAACTATGCGAGTGGATCCTTGTGGTTTCTTTTTACTATGGGTTGATCAAAATAATGAAATGGATATATTGGATATATCCACAATTAGAGATGTACGAACTGGACAATATGCCAAAAAACCAAAGGTAAGTGAATAAAGATATTTATATAGAAACTATATTTTTTTAATTAAACAAAAATTGTATTCTGAAAGTCTAAACCAATACTATACAAAATTGTATTCTTTTGATTCTCAGTAGTAATCGCAAAACACACCCGATTTATTAATAAGGTATACAGTCAAATCTAGAGAAAGAAATTAGAAGTTAAACTGTTGTACGTGTGCATGTTCTTAAATGAAAATTGTTTTCACAATTTTTTTATAAATGTACGACAAAGTGAACATTTCTAAAACGAGTCTAAACGAATACAAGAAGGTACAGACTGGCGAACGCTTAGACAACAAACAAATCCTGACAAGATAAAGAGTGAAAATAATTGTAGTCGTACATTCAACAACATTCTAAGTATTTAGTTATTCAAGAAATTAATCATTTTAAGCCATGAAATAGCGTTTCACCCACTCATTTGACAATCTTGTATTTTTTTGTGTACATACATATCTGCTGCTTGATGTCAATCTCACAACTACAAACTTTTCTACATTCGAATTATTAAAGCTAAATTACTGTTTTATTAATGTAGAAGACAAACTTCCCTGGGGATAATAAAATGATAATGCGCAACAAAAATAAAAACATGAATTTTACTATTACAACTCAATTAAAAAAATAAAATTCAGCAAATAAAATTCACATAGGAAATGAAAACACGCAAAACACAGATGTACAAAATCTGTTGTTTATACCATTTAAAGTTGGAAAATAAAAACAAAACACACAAATAAAAACATTAAACAAACTAGAAAAATGAAGGAAATTAATTATAACATTAATATCATACTCTTCGTCATCATCAACAGCAAACACAAAAAATAACAACAACTAAGTATCAGCAACATCATCATTACTTTATCATTGAAATAATGTTGATACCATTAAAAGTACAAAATTAAATTTTTCTCTTTCGTCCACCGTCCGTCTAGCATCTAAAGTCATCATTTTTGTTTCTATTTTAAATGTTGTACATAAAAGAGGATTAGAGAGATTGTTTTCTAAAACACAATGATAGCTTGTTTTTTTTGCAGCCGTTTAACTCTTTTATTAAATGCGAAATTTAATACATTCAACTCATTGGCAAGGACCTTGAAGAGCGAGAAATTTAAACATTTTATTACATAAATTATTAGAATTAACTTGAATGACTAAATGAGAGAACTTGCCGCTTGAAAACGTTGAATATTGTTTCACTTTCACTTATAACAAAGGCCAAACAACCATTTAACAGTCAGCCTACTAATTGTTTAAACGTTGAAATTTTCGTAATTTTTCCGTAATTGTTTCTTTGTGAATTTGAAGGAGGAAAAGAAAGTATTGTTTAAAATTGTCTATATTTAGCACAAAAAAGTAGGCAACATTTTTTGTATGGTACATAATTTAAAACAACATTGAATTTTAGTTAACTGAAATCACTTTTATTTAATGATTTTATTACGTAAATTATATTTGTTTTCCTGTCGCTCGTCGTCAGTCCTCACTTGTGCTACTTATTAAATGTGTTGCAAATACAAATTTTCTATTTTTAGAATGACAACAGGTTAGCAACTCATTATTTTTAAAGATGTTTTTGCTACGAGAATAGTATAATTAATAGTATATTTTAGGATGAAAAGAAGTAATAAAAATATAACCATTTCGTTTTTTATCCCTTTAAAGCAAAATTTTTTCGTTTTGAAATTCTCAAAAACCCAGGACTAACTCAAAAATATGCTCTAAAAAAGTGCATTTTTAGAGCATATTTTTGATTTCCTTGTTAATCAATTAACATTTTAACTTAAAGGGAAGTAAACTTTTTGCTACTTCCAAGGTTTTTTTACCTCAATTAATATTTATGTAAGGATCAACAAGAACTATAGGCATGAAATGGGTTCTTAGTCCTTTTATGGCAAACTGGCTTTATAAAAGTGTAATTAGACCAATTCTAGCTTATGATTCAATAATCTGTTGGACTGCTTTATACAAAAAGTGTAATATCAAAATACTACAGGGAGTTCAGCGTACATGCTGCACGGGTATAAGTGGTGCCACCATATATACTACTTCAACCAAGGCTCTAGATATTACACCCATTGAAACATATTTAAGATATGAGGCGGCACTTACGGACGAACGGATCTTTACTTTAGACGAACCGGCCGAAAGCGGTTATAGGACTCGTCATCAGTGTATGCTGGACACATTGGAACGTTATACGCAATCATCGGAAGTGCCTGATTGCATACCAGACACAGAGTATGTCGGAAACTTTGAAACGCTGATCCCAGATAGAATGTCTTGGCCACGCGGAACATTAGAGCAAATCCCAGTAGAAATCCGTTGTTACACGGATGGCTCTAAATTGGGGGACAAAGTGGGCCTGGGGACCTATATTGAAGACCCAGAAACAGAAATATACCCCCGCTTAACCAACTTTTTGATCTTCTTATGAAAATATTTAGTCCTTTTGAGTTCCAAACACCTTTATGGAATAGATTAGTTACTAGTGTAGTTCGTAATGAATCCAATCTGATTTTAAGCCATTCGCCAGCTGCAATGTTTTCTGAAACTGCGAGATCTGACCCAGCCTAACAGAATCTCTAAGGTATTTGAATGAGGAGATTTTGATGGAAAATCAAAGAATTTGGTTCCTATTACCCGATAAAAACTCTTAAATCAACTTTGCCAAAGGTTTTGGTTCATTATAATGCTGAAAATCGCAATAAAATAAGTTGTTCTGTTCAATGTACTCAATCATATGCTTCATTTTGTTGGCCAAAAATGTCCCAGAAAGAAAAAGAATCCAATTTTATTTTCCAAAAAAAGATGCTTAGGTTTCGAACAATGTATGTATTAGCTGAAAAATATTCCTTTTGTGGATCTTAGGTGATAATAATCACCATTTTTTGAAAATTTCTGAATTAAATATTTTTCCTTTAACACACGACAGTTCACTTTATATTGGTTCCAAGCAACCTAAGGTCTGTTAAGAGGTTTAAATTCAAATATAGTGGTCTTCCTAGTTCGTATTTGCACTTTGGAGAAGATAAATGAGGGTTTCAATAGTTTTCTTTGGATATAACTCGTTGCCCTTTGGCAGTTAAAGTTAAATGATTCTGCGTGACATTTCATCAATTACTACATTTTATATTATTAACGACATTGATGCAACATCTAATAAATATATTTCTTTGATTTACATTTGTTCTACAGTTTCACATAATGAGGACACGATTTTTCAAATTGTAATAAAAAACATTTTTACTATAAAACAATAAATTCCAAAAAATAATTTGAAAAACACATCGAAATTAAGTAGAATTCTAAAATGCAAAATACTTTATTGACCTGCAAAATCTGATGCACCAAAATTTGTATTTACACAATCATTTTTTCCAATTGGAAAACATAAATTTACTTTCTACCTGTTTTTACAAAAATTATTCATGGACAAAAAATAAAATTCTCTTAAGAAAAGGCAGGCAAAAAACATAGTTGATTCACTGGATATTGATGTGGATGTTTATCATTTAAGTATTACGTTTAACTAAATATGTATAACTACGTTGAATTTATCATTTGAAATGTAGAAGTCGAATTAAATATGTAATGTCCTTTTTTATAAAATATGGAAAGCATTTTAGTATGCATTAAAGATTTAATATGTGGTGTAAAAAATATTTACACAAATCTAGCAAAACAAAAAAACAAAAAGAAATATATAAATATTGTGTTATAGAAATGTTTATTTTAAAGTGCATGAACTTTTTTGTTTTTCTCGTTTTCGGTTTTTTAGTAAACGTAGAAAAGGTTGTATTTACTGAATACAAATGCATACAACAACAATTGTTTAATTTAACCACCTAAAAGCCTTATTTATTTTCCATTTATTTGGCATACTATTTAAATAAGCCCATTTGTTTAAAAGATATTGATGAAAATAATATGTATTTTTACATTGATTAAATATAAACAATAATAGAATTTAATATCTGTGAAAAACACGTTGGAGTTGTTGCTGTCGCCTTAACGATACATGTAAACATTCTTCATAAATTCGCTATAAATTAGTAAGAACGTTTCAAAATTAAAATATAAATACAAATTTTTAATAAATAAATGTTAATTATATTAATCGGATATTTAAAAAATGTAATGTTTTTTCAAAATTTAATTAATGGGAATTGTAATGATTTTTATTATTTCATAAAAATTTAAATGTTTAATAAAAACAATCCTTAAATACTATTAACATTTAAGCATTGGAAATTTGTATTTTTGTTCTTTACAACTTTTATAAAATTCTCAAAAATCCCAAAATGCAATAAAGATAGAAGCACTTTAAATTTTAAGGATATTACTTTAAAATCATATACGCATTTAAGTGTGATATACTTAATCTACGTCAATTGAGCGTCTTCTAATAAAAATTACTTTTATTCTCCTTTTCTCATATGCAATATTTTTTTTTTCATTATTTTGTTTTTGCAGGATCCCAAACTAAGTCAAATTGTAACATTGGGTTCACAGGATACACTGGAAGAGAAAACTGTAACCATTTGTCATGGTGCAGATTTTGTTAACTTGACATTTGTAAATTTTTGCTGTACGAAAAAAGAAATTGCTCAGGTGAGTTAATCAATCAAAAGGGAAAACTTAACTGAAACTAAATTGAACCGAACTAAACTTAACAAAATGTACAAAACAACGTATGGAATAAAGAATGAATTAATAAACAAAAAAAAAAAAAACATATGTTTAGTTGAAAGAATATATACTTTAATACAAATAAACATATGTATGATGTACTGATGATATATACCCCTATAGACTTTCGCAAATATGTATGTTTTTCTGTTTATGTGGATCCATCCACCCTCTAGATTTTATATTTAAATTTATTAACCTTCTCGTATGTACATACATACTTACATACATATGTATGAATATTTATGTGAGTCCATGTGTTCCTGTGTGTGTTATTGTTGTTATAGATGTGTTTTGAAAAAAAATATATATTTGAAAAACTTTTCACTTTTACGAGTAATTGTGACCTAGTTTTTATTTTTGTAACATTTAAATGAAATTGAGCAAACAACATTTATTTTTATTATTTCTGGTTTAAAAAAAAATACTACTATTAGGTAAAACAAAAACGACATCTCAAAATTTTTCAGCTAAAATACAATGAAGAAAAAGACTTAAGTAAATATATCATTTAATTTTAAAAAAAATATTTTGGTACCCTGTCTCAGAGTCATAAAAGAATTAATTTAATATTTAAATTTTAATTACAAGACATTTTTGTGAGAGTTTAAAAAATTAATGTTATTTTATCTCTTAAATACGATCTTCTGACAAATTAATATTCAATACTATGTATTTTTGTATTTTGCACTTTATGGCGTCAAAAAATGCCGCTATCTGAACTCCTTTGGACAATTTTTGCTAGGACCAATAGGTGAAAAGTTACACTCATTTGAATAAAACCCTGTATGACAAAAATGTCCAACTTTAACCCCTTCTAAGTCCGGCAGTTCTTGCAGATAGAGCTGAAAATTTCTTTCTGGCCTACTATCCAATAGTACTAACCTTTGTGCAAATCAAAATTAGAAGACATCGATTTTAAAAGTTGCATATGCATTATTATCGCAATTTTTTGAAATTCCGCAAACAGTGTTGTAAACAAAAACTTCCTCTTTAAGATAATGTAAAAAAATTGCAAAAGTGTTGCGCCATTTAGAGAAAGTATGTAATACATATTTATACAAAACTTCGTCACGTTTGGTGCCAGAACATTTTCACTTTCATTTTTTTCGTGAAAAAATAATATATTTCAAAACATCTGCTCACGCTCTACGAGGTCTTGTAATTGTTTTTTGATAGTTGCAAATAGCCATATCCCATATACATTAAACGTACAGTACTAAAGTAATAATCTAATTTTGCGCTGTGTACATACTAGACTACAAACCACACTATAGACTAGACTATAGACTAGACTATAGACTAGACTAGACTATAGACTAGACTATAGACTAGACTATAGACTAGACTATAGACTAGACTATAGACTAGACTATAGACTAGACTATAGACTAGACTATAGACTAGACTATAGACTAGACTATAGACTAGACTATAGACTAGACTATAGACTAGACTATAGACTAGACTATAGACTAGACTATAGACTAGACTATAGACTAGACTATAGACTAGACTATAGACTAGACTATAGACTAGACTATAGACTAGACTATAGACTAGACTATAGACTAGACTATAGACTAGACTATAGACTAGACTATAGACTAGACTATAGACTAGACTATAGACTAGACTATAGACTAGACTATAGACTATACTATAGACTAGACTATAGACTAGACTATAGACTAGACTATAGTATAGACTAGACTATAGACTAGACTATAGACTAGACTATAGACTAGACTATAGACTAGACTATAGACTAGACTATAGACTAGACTATAGACTATACTATAGACTAGACTATAGACTAGACTATAGACTAGACTATAGACTAGACTATAGACTAGACTATAGACTAGACTATAGACTAGACTAATTAGACTAGACTATAGACTAGACTATAGACTAGACTATAGACTAGACTATAGACTAGACTATAGACTAGACTATAGACTAGACTATAGACTAGACTATAGACTAGACTATAGACTAGACTATAGACTAGACTATAGACTAGACTAGTAGACTAGACTATAGAACTAGACTATAGACTAGACTATAGACTAGACTATAGACTAGACGATAGACTAGACTATAGACTAGACTATAGACTAGACTATAGACTAGACTATAGACTAGACTATAGACTAGACTATAGACTAGACTATAGACTATAGACTAGACTATAGACTAGACTATAGACTAGACTATAGACTAGACTATAGACTAGACTATAGACTAGACTATAGACTAGACTATAGACTAGACTATAGACTAGACTATAGACTAGACTATAGACTAGACTATAGACTAGACTATAGACTAGACTATAGACTAGACTATAGACTAGACTATAGACTAGACTATAGACTAGACTATAGACTAGACTATAGACTAGACTATAGACTAGACTATAGACTAGACTATAGACTAGACTATAGACTAGACTATAGACTAGACTATAGACTAGACTATAGACTAGACTATAGACTAGACTATAGACTAGACTATAGACTAGACTATAGACTAGACTATAGACTAGACTATAGACTAGACTATAGACTAGACTATAGACTAGACTATAGTCTAGACTATAGACTAGACTATAGACTAGACTATAGACTAGACTATAGACTAGACTATAGACTAGACTATAGACTAGACTATAGACTAGACTAGACTATAGACTAGACTAGACTATAGACTAGACTAGACTATAGACTAGACTATAGACTAGACTAGACTATAGACTAGACTTGTCTATAGACTAGACTATAGACTAGACTAGACTATAGACTAGACTAGACTATAGACTAGACTAGACTATAGACTAGACTATAGACTAGACTAGACTATAGACTAGACTATAGACTAGACTATAGATTAGACTAGACTATAGACTAGACTATAGACTAGACTATAGACTAGACAATAGACTAGACTATAGACTATAGACTAGACTATAGACTAGACTATAGACTAGACTATAGACTAGACTATAGACTAGACTATAGACTAGACTATAGACTAGACTATAGACTAGACTATAGACTAGACTATAGACTAGACTATAGACTAGACTATAGACTAGACTATAGACTAGACTATAGACTAGACTATAGACTAGACTATAGACTAGACTAAACTGTAGACAAGACTATAGAATAGGCTACGGACTAGACTAAAGTCTAAGCCATAGAATTGATTATTATAGACTGCTTGTCTGTAAGTGTAAAATATTGTTGGATTACTGCGGTATTTTTTGAAGATAGAAAGTACTGAAAAAAGTTCTAAAGTACTGAGTTTTCCATGCCTGATTTAATTGATCAGATAGTAGTTTTAATTCTAAAAAAGTACAACTTATCTATTTCAAAATTACAATTACTGAAAGAATATGCTTAAAATGTATTAATTGCTGTACCCATTTCGGAATAATGACAGTTCAAATGAGTACAAATGTAATGACCATCACCATGGAATCACCCATAAAATAAATAATTATTTTACTTAGATGCACAAAATTTAAATTTATAAATTTTATAAATTATCTAATTAATAACCTAACTTTTTGGTAAAATGAAGCATTCTTAATAACAATAATTAAATTATTCGTGTTATGAAATAAAAATCATTAGTTCATTACTCTGTCTACAAAAGTCAGTACTACAAACAATAAATGTGCAGTACACATAATGGTAAAGGCGGCCGTTTATGTGTGTCTGGAAAACTGACTGGCTGACTAACTAGCTCGTTGGTTGCTGCTTAAATGAATGAATTATTGAAATGCAAAAGAAGAAGAGAAATGAGAAACGAAATAGGCATTTTGGTTAAATTGTTTGGATTTTTATAATATGACTATCTGAATAGTGCTCTGTCCGGGTTTTCTAACGTTGTTGCAGTTGTCTTTAATATTGGCATTTCGCCAAAAAGAAAAAATAATTTATGATGCTGTACTACATTCATACATATAAAACCAAAACAATATGATGTACAATAAAAACATTTTCGCTCTATTCTACTCTCATTTTCAATTTTTGATCATGCAAAAGAAAGAATTCCTTTTGACGTGCAATATATTCACCTGATTTGCTTAAATAAAATAAACAAATTTTCAAATTTAACATACATAAACACAAACTTATATTCCCCATGAAATTATAATTGAAAAATGGTCATACACAAACAGAGCACATTAATTTAATATTTTAAACAATATTGTTTTTTTTTTTTTTTCATTTTTTAACAAAGCAAAAGTATTTGTTCGTATGCTAAAGTAAATTATACTATACAGCCATTAGCAGCGTCAGTTCTTGCTAATTGACAGCATTAGTTGCAGCATTAATAAAAATGTTGATTTTCATGATTGACTTTCGACTTTAATTTGAAATGCTGCCAACAAATTCTAAACCTACATTTAACAACTGTTTATTATTTATTTTTTTTTTTCGTAGGCACTACAATTCTTTCGCGATCACTGTACTGTTTTAAGTAACATCATGTAAATGGAATTCCTTTTTAACTTTTTTAAAACAAATATTTATTCTGGCAAAAGTACAAACAAAATGTTTCGTTTTACATTTGAATATGTTTAAACTTTGCAAATAAATATGAAACTTTTTTGTATTCTTTTAAGTTATTAGGTGGGAAATTGGCACAATATTCTTTGGAACAATCAATTTTTATTGAAATATTTAAAGCAAGCTATTGTGACTATACATTTTACTAATAAATACTACTATCTATGTACATACATATGTATGTATGTATTGTGGATTTTAATATACATTCATAAACATTTGTTCATTCATAAAAACTGAAAATATTAAAAACAATTTTATATAGAATTTCCACCAAATAATTTTTGTGTCCTGTAATAAAAGCTTTTTGGCATTTTTGGTAAAAGATATCAAATTTGTAATATATTATATATTTTTTATTGTTGCATTTAAACACGAGGACTTTAATGTCATGTTCTGAATACAAGTTAAATTACTTAATTCACGCTAATAAACGTTTCCCAAAAATAATATTTTCAATATTACTACTATTTATTAACATTATTAATCAGTTAATACTGGATTTCAAATAATAAATTATCAAACAATTAATGATTCTGCACACTTTTTCAGGGCAGATAAGGTGTAAAGTGTGTCTACAATATGATGTTTAGCACAAAGGGGTTTTTCAACTTCCATAAATAATAATCAAAATCATTTTAATCTTTTTCAAAATTAAATTCTGATAATTTTTGGGGAAAAACGTAATTTGTTCAAAGTTATGTTCCTGATTAAATCGATTTTAACTGTACAACATTTTTAATAATCTTTGCTACAAATATTCAGATAATATTTTTATTATGTCGTAGCATGAAAAAACCCAAAAAATATCTAACATCAAAAACTTTATCAACATTATATTGAATACAGAATTTCTTTCGAAGGTACGTCGCGGCGGTTGCTTAGAATGTTAATGAACGAAACCAAAACCAACCCAACCTATAGTCTAATCAGAAGTAAACTGAAAGATTTTAAATATACATAATATTAAATGTTAAGATTTAAGCAACATATTTCCTCCTTAAATGTTTGATTGAATCTGAAATTTTTAGAATAAATGAACACATTTTCAGAATAAAATCCTGTAATTATGAACAATTTATATTATCTCTATTTGCATCAATACTACTAGGTATACACTGCCCTACTTTAAACATTTTGAAATAAAATTGATTGTTATTATTATTACAAGTTTAATAAATTAATGCAATAAAAACCGCATGCATCAATGCCGCAAAAAAGAAATGTGTAATTAGAGATCAATAGGTATTATATAATATTGCATAATGCATGTATGCATATTTTTAAATACTTGTTCATATGAAATAAGTGACTGCCTGAATAAATGAGTTATTAAAGATTAATAAAATTACGGCATTCATACATGAACTCATGATACTAGTAAATGCACTTAACTATTTTTTAAATGAAAATAAATGTTCGTCTTTTTTTTTTTTTTGTTTTTTTTGCCAACTCAATTAACTTATTTTCCATTTTACTTTTGATAAATATTTTACAGCACTGGTGTGATGGTTTAATGAGGCTGGCATACAGTTTAATGCAGTTGAATGGCTCGGTAAATATGTTTTTGAAAAAGGCCCATACAAAGCTGTGTCTTCAAACTGACAAAAGCGACAAGATACCAGTTAAAAAGTGAGTAATTTTTTTTTAAATTATACATGTCAATATATCAGTATATACTAAATTGAATATAATTTTTATACAAAACTAAACATTACAGCATAGTTAAAATGTTTGCTCAAAATAAAGATGATCGCAAGCGTGTGGAAAAGGCATTAGAGAATACAGGTATACCCTCGGGCAAACTGGAATCGGTGCCAATTTCAAAATTTACGTTTGAGGAATTTTATAATTTATATAAAAATCTAACGCAACGCAGTGAGGTGGAAAAAGTATTTGACAACATGTAAGTTTTTCATTATTTTTTCCACTTTTGCTTTTTAATTTTTTATAAGCGCTTTTAAAATCATAAAAAAGGCAATTTGCATTAATTTGTTGAATTTTAATTTGTATAACCGTATTTATTTAATCCTTTTTTATGGCCTTAACAAAAGGGTAAAATAAATATTCATGTTGTCGTTATTGTTGTTTCTATCCTCTTTTTTAATAGTCAGTATTAAATTAATTTACTTTGAATTTTTTTAATTTTTCATGTTGCTTGTTGTGCTACAGAGTGGGCAATACAAAACGCAAATATATGACCACCAACCAGTTTATGGACTTTTTGAACAACACACAGCGTGATCCAAGACTAAATGAGATTTTATATCCTTATGCCGATACGGAACGAGCCAAAGAAATCATAAAACAATATGAACCTAATCAATTCAATATACAAAAAGGGTTATTGAGTTTGGATGGCTTTTTAAGGTACGTACTACAACGACAGCAAAATGAAACCTTGCCAAAGACATTATATTGTAGTCTCTCCCAAGAAGAGGGTAGAGTTTTAATAAAATAAGTTAAAGTATCTAACAATAAAGCAATGTTTATCATAGAATATTTCAAAACAAAATTTTACAAAAAAAAAATATTTAAATGTTGTAGAGTTTTTCGTAAATTTTAAATAAGAAATTCACACAGTATTAATTTCTTGTTCCTTCTTCCACTAAGTGTGATAAATATGTATACCTGATATGACGATTTTATATCAACAATAATTTTATAAAAATATTACTCCTAGCTCCTTCATGCTATTATGAGTTATTAAATGATTAACACGTGTCATTAATATAAACTATGTTTTATATCGAAAGTTGGTAATTGTTGAGAACTTTTTTAACGGAAACATAACATACATAAATATTTATTTATTCAAACTTTTACAATGACAGCTGTCAATTACGAAATATATTGTTTTTCTATATAAATGCAATACTTTGTTACAAAATATAAGTTTCTCTCTCTGTAAAACTTAAGAGCAGAAGTGGAATATAACGAAAATATTAGATTTGAAATTACATACATATAAACTAACTTCATTGATGGTATGTATTTTGTTATGTGATCAACTTCTACTTAATATTACACATTTATTTTGCAGCTGAACAATTTAATTTTTATTAATTCTTCTTTGCTAAGCAAAAAATGTTACACAAAACTTTCTCAGTTTCAAGCATCCTTTTTTATGTAAAAGTTTCAATGTTCATATTAAATTCTTTTATTATTGTTAAAAAAAATGTCCAACCTTTATTTCATTCACCTCAAAACTTTATCTTGAAAAACTTGTGACACCACTCTGTTGTTGACACATTCAATAAAACCGAGTGAACAAAAAGTATTCAACGATGTCTCAAAAGAGTGACTGACACACAAATACAACAACTTAAAAAAACAGAAATAATAAAAATTAAATGAAATACTATCTAACGGACTTAATGGTCCGTATGCATACATACAAGATCACACTTGTTTGAGTATAAGAGCGAATATATTCTTTAAAGAGGATGTCGCATATAACTTGTGTTGAACAATGCAATGAAGGACAACAGTTTTATTTTTTAGGCTTTACAGCGGAAACGTACAAAACACAGCATAAAATGTCATTCAACGTGCATAGGGTTTGAATTTGTAGAACAACTTTTCCTAGTTTTCCTATTCGTACAATATTGTATTGTATAGACACATACCTACATATAAATGTACATACATATATAGAATATCTATATGTAACGTATAAAGTTGTGTGAGTGCTTATATCAAATAACCATTGAAGGTTATATAATGTACAATAAAATCAGTTTACTTGGTTTAACAATGCTGTACACTAAATACACAGAACATACTCAAGTTTATTTCAACCCATTTTGTAAATGACATTTGAATGGTTCCGGTGCATACATGTTTTAGTTTTATTTTATTCATAGGCTTTAAATTCTGGTAGAGAATTTCTACTTTAGGAAAAACTAAAATATCTACATATCCGCTCATATATTTTTAAACTGCACATGTTTAAAGGAATGAAATGTTTAAAAAATTGAAAAATTAAAAACTTTTAGGGCTATCATTGGATAACACCAAAAAGAGCAGTGCTAGATAACTTGACCCTTGGATTTAAACTCGACTTACATACTTTTATATTTTAAAAATGTATCATTTTACTTGGATCAATAATTCAAATTTGAATTAAGATAAGAATTAGAATGTCACTTAAAACTCTGCTTTAGTACACACAGTCTTAGTTGTTATTAGTTATGGCAATAACACTGACATGTGAGCGTAAGTTGTAAAGTATATTCTTTGGATGTCTATTTTATGCCAAAATAAGAGACCGACCAGATATTTATATTGAATCCCAAGCATTTTTGTTGATTTTATGTATCTTTAATAATTTTTGGGCGCTCTTACAGATACTTGATGTCAGACGATAATCCAATAATGGCGGCAAATAAATGGGATCTAAATGATGATATGAATCAACCTCTATCACATTATTTTATAAATTCTTCCCATAACACTTACTTAACGGGCCATCAGTTAACCGGTAAATCATCGGTTGAAATTTATCGTCAGTGTTTATTGGCTGGTTGCAGGTACGAATGAGACTTCGGTTGAATGATAAATGATGTTGATACATATTTGATGTTGTTCTTAATTACTCTATTTCATACTCTTTGAAAACTGCGCTCCCTCTCACTGCTCCATAATAAAAATATATGTAAACTCAACGACATCATCGTAATAATGTTTTTAACATTGTATGCAAAAGATGTGTGGAGTTGGATTTTTGGAATGGTCGTACTGACGAACCGGTTATTGTGCATGGTTACACATTTGTTCCTGAAATATTTGCCAAGGATGTTTTGGAAGCCATAGCGGAGAGTGCTTTTAAAACATCAGAATTTCCTGTGATATTAAGTTTTGAAAATCACTGTAATCCCAGGCAACAGGTGAGTTTAATAACGTGCTCTAATTTTTTATGTGTTCAAGTGTGTTTTAGTTAGTATGTGTGTGTTTGTATTTCTGGGTGTATGTGTTATTGAAGAGACGTGTGCAACGTACAAACATACATATGTATGTAGGTACGCTGGAAGTTTTATTAAGTAGATACCATTACACAAACATCGATACTCAAGTACAAGTTATTTGTGTTAACAAGAAGATGAAGAAGTAAGAGAAAAAATAAAACAAGTACATAGTTAGAAAATAACTTTTATAAACAAATTAATGCTTCAAAGAAACCTGGTGCTAACAACAGTTTTTATTTGAACTTGTATTTTTTGCCATTATTTTTTCTTTCCTTGTAATCAAATATTATGCTTTTAAAATCTACTTTAAATTTAAAAGTTTTGCTACCGTATTTGTTTACAATGTTAAATAATAGTACACCAAACAAATAAAAACAAGTATGAATGTATAGTCGGGCATCTCCTAGCCTAAACCATTAGAATAGATTTCGGAAGGATTTTTGTAGGTCTTAGGACAATTATGGACACTACTGAGCTTTATTGGGTTATTTATAGCGTATGTTTGACCTTAATACCAATTATATTTGAAAAAATTGACTGCTATTTATTATTCTTATGAACTTAAAAACAAAAATCGTATTGTCCGATTGTATGTGGGCAAGGTTAAATCCTTGGGTAAAAAATCGTTGTGCCTAATTTCAAAAAATTTTAAAATTGACACACGGACAGACATCTTAAATCGTCTGAGAAAGTAAAAGTACTTTAATGCATGCTGGTTTGCTCTTATTCTTTGCAATCTATGGAGTGACGATTGACTTTCCTCTAGGACAAGCACATGTTAAAAAAGCTATTTACCTGGATAGTCGGTGGCTAGGGGTTACTCTAAGTGATAGGTTAAATAGCTAGTTCTAGACTACTGGGGTGTGAAGGACCAATATTTTGTTGAGTTAAAAACATCAGCACAAACGTATTATACCCTTCCCACTATAGTGGTTTAGTGTATAAACAAAGTCTTTAAGAGCATTTTAGAAACGATTATAAACAAAAACTGTTTTAACATTTATAAAGTTAATAAATTAATTTACTTTAAACAGTTGTTTTCATTATATGATAAAATAAATTAATTGCACAATTATTGTTATTTATATGTACATATATGTATTGTTTTGTCTATTATTGCAAATTATATTGTAATTTTTTAGGCTAAAATTGCTAATTACTGTCGTGAGATATTTGGTGATATGTTGCTAGATAAACCCTTAGATTCTCACCCACTTGAACCCAATGTTGATCTACCACCACCATCATTTCTCAGACGTAAAATTATCATTAAGAATAAGAAGAAACATCATCACCATCACCACCATCATCATCATCACCACAAGAAAAGTACGAGTGGTTCGACATCCAATAACAAACAACTGATCTCAGCCAATTCAGGTAAGTTAAACGGGCAAATATTTGTACTACAATCTACATATATGTATTAATAATCTATATACATATGGGCAATTTCATGTCTAGTGACCCAACTCAAAAAATCTATTTTTACGGAATTTGCACCGAGTTTAGTACTATTGAAAAGTAGACCGTTCACAAATTTTGAGCTCTATCTGTCAAGAACTGCCAAACTTTGATGGTGTTCATTTTGGTCATTATTTAAATGAGTGTAACTTTTCACCTATTGGTCCTAGCAAAAATTGTCCAAAGGAGAGCTATCTGAACTCCTTTCTTCATTTTTTCCAAACAAAAATTTTACATTTTTTTTAGAAGAAATCTTTTACAATATCCTTTAAGGGCTTTATAATCTCATAATGGGATGCGAGTGAGATATCAATAAAAAAAAATATTTTAACTCAAAAAGGAAAGTTTTGAGTAAAAAATATTATTTTTTTTTTCACATTGCCCCTTGCATCCCACTAAGTAACCACAAAGCTCTTAAAGGAAATGGTCTAAGCTTTCTTTTGGGCAAAATAAAAATACAACAAAAACGTCCATTTTCAAAAAATAGGGGAAAATTAAGTGCAAATATTGAAAAAATCTTATTCTTGGGTTTCCCTTAAAGGAAATTTTATAAGCTTTCTTTTGAGCAGAAAAGTGCCCATTTTGAAAAAAAAATAAAAATAAAAAATTTGGAAACAATGAAGAACAAAAACAAAAAAGAAAAACCCTGTATGACCAGAATGTCCAACTTTGACCCTCTCTAAGCCCGGCAGTTGTTGACCGATAGAGCTGAAAATTTGTGTCTGGCCTACTATCCAATAGTACTAACTTGTTACTTGCTGCAAATTTCATCCAAATCGGAATACATCGATTTAAAAAGTTGGGTCTCTTGACACCAAATTGTCCATATATAAAGTTCTAACGAAACTGACGCACAGCCTAAACGGTTAAAGCTAGAAATTTGGACAGGTCTCATAACAAATAGATCCACTAAGACGAGATTTTTGGAAATTCGAATATTTAAAAAGTGAACAAATTCGGTAACGTCATATCTCTTTAACTAAAAAATCAAATTTTCATAGAAAATTTGTTCAATAAACCTTTGATAAATGTTTAGGAATAAGGCAGTTAATAAATAAACGGAAAGGTGTCTAGTATTTTTTTTTTTTTTTTTTTAAATTCGGCCATATTTATTGACATATGACTTCTTATTGATGGGCTCCAACTACGTACGATATTGCAACATTTTGGAATAAAATTTTTATTTCGCCAATCATGATGAAAAAAGAAAATTTTGATAAAAATTGGTATAACACTAAATATGCTTTTTTTGGTACTTTTTGTTCTTCATCTGATTCTTTTTGAATTTTCTTGCATGTAGAGCCCGGAGTAAATCGGAATCTATAAAAGAAGACCATTTTAGTACTTTTTATTTCTTCAAAAGGTTTTTTTTTAGAGATTTCTATAATATTGAAGCAAGAAACATAAAACTAATCAAATGGAGTCCTTAGTGAATGGAAATCTTTAAGAAGAATATTTGAAACTATTTTCATTCTTCAAATGGTACCTTTGAGTTTTGAACCATGAAATATTTGATACTTTTCCGTTCTTCAAGTGGTACTTCAAAAATAATTTTAAATATAATTAATATATTCTAACCTCTGAATGTATGCAACACTAGAGTTCTCCAAAAAATTATGTTGCGAATTTTGCCCATCCACCCTTTAAAAAATGTTTGCAATTTCCCACAACATTTGATCATTTGACTATAATTTTATTTAATACTAGCTATACCCAGTGTGCTTCGCTACCCTCATCGTAATGGAATAAAATAAATATTATTGTAAATGTATATATATCTGCAATATCAAAAAGTCCCCTATTTAAATTTATGTTTATATATTCAATATTTTAGAAAACTCAAAAAGTACCAATGAAGTACGAAAAAGTAACAAAAGACCTCTTTTATTTAATTTCATGTTCCTAAGTTCAATATTATAGAAAATTAAAAAAGTACCAGTTGAAGAACGAAAAATTACCAAAGGTCCCCTTTTATAGATTCTCATTAACTCCGGGCTCCAAATGGTTAATTTCATGTTATAAAAAACACAAAAAGTACCTTTTGAAGAACGAAAAATTACCAAAAAGTCCTCTCTTATATGTTCTCACTTACTCCGGGCTCTACGTACTTAATTTCATGATTCTAGGTTCAATATTATAGAAAATTCAAAAAGTACCTTTTGAAGAACGAAAAAGTACCAAAAAGTCCCCTCTTATAGATTCTCATTTACTCCAGGCTCTATATGCTTAATTTCATGCTTCTAGGATCAATATTATAGAAAATTCAAAAAGTACCTTTTGAAGAACGAAAAAGTACCAAAAAGTCCCCTTTTATAGATTCTCATTTACTCCAGGCTCTACATGCTTAATTTCATGCTTCTAGGATCAATATTATAGAAAATTCAAAAAGTACTTTTTGAAGAACGAAAAAGTACCAAAAAGTCCCCTTTTATAGGTCCTCACTTAATTCGGGCTCTACATGTTTAATTTCATGTTTCTAGGTTCAATATTATAGAAAATTCAAAAAGTACCTTTTGAAGAACAAAAAAGTACCAAAAAGTCCCCTTTTATAGTTTCTCACTTAATCCAGGCTCTACATGCATACATTCATGTTTCTATTTTCAATATTATAGAAAATTCATAAAGTACCAAAAAGTCCCCTTTTATAGATTCTCATTTACTACGGGCTCTAAATGCTTATTTTCATGTTTCTAGGTTCAATTTAATAGAAAACTCAAAAAGTACCAGTCGAAGGACGAAAAAGTACCAAAAAGTCCCCTTTTATAGATTCTCATTTACTAAGGGCTCTACATGCTTAATTTCATGTTTCTAGGTTAATTTTATAGAAAACTCAAAAAGTACCAGTCGAAAGACGAAAAAGTACCAAATAGTCCCCTTTTATAGATTCTCATTTACATACTTAATTTTATGTTTCTAGGTTAAATTTTATAGAAAACTCAAAAAGTACCAGTCGAAGGACGAAAAAGTACCAAAAAGTCCCCTTTTATAGATTCTCATTAACTAAGGCCTCCGCATGCTTAATTTCATGTTTCTAGGTTAAATTTTATAGAAAACTCAAAAAGTACCAGTCGAAGGACGAAAAAGTACCAAAAAGTCCCCTTTTATAGATTCTCATTTACTCCGGGCTCTACATGCTTAATTTCATGTTTCTAGGTTAAATTTTATAGAAAACTCAGAAAGTACCAGTCGAAGGACGAAAAAGTACCAAAAAGTCCCCTTTTATAGATTCTCATTTACTCCGGTCTCTACATGTTTAATTTCATGTTTCTAGGTTCAATATCATAGAAAATTCAAAAAGTACCTTTTGAAGAACGAAAAAGTACCAAAAAGTCCCATTTTATAGATTCTCATTTATTCCGAGCTCTACATGCTTAATTTCATGTTTCTAGGTTTAATTTTAAAGAAAACTCAAAAAAGTACCTGTGTAGAACGAAAAAGTACCGAAAAGTCCCTTTATTATTAATTTCATGTTTCTATTTCAATATCATAGAAAACTCAAAAAGGACCAGTTGGAGAATGAAAAGTACCAAAAAATATCACTTGATACCGGGGTTCCAAATAACACCCCATTAGGATATTTAGTGTTTCTAAATTTAAAAATGTTATCTAAATTGGATCATTGTGGTTGAATAAAATCAAATTTCCCGTTTTTACCCCTTTTGGTACTTTTTTCCTCCCCATTAACGAAATAAAAATTCTATTCCAAAAAGTTGCAACATCGTAGTGGGAGCCCGTTATTATGTATTCATATGTATAAGTTAATAAACCAAAAACAATGTTTTATGAAAAAAGTACCAAAAATAGGTACAATTTTAACCCCTTAAACGTCCGAATATCCAAAAAGTACTAAATTCATATTTTTATTTTTTCGTTAAGTTATGAAGGAGTCAAAAATATTTTTTGAATGTGCACTGGTTTAAAAGATACATGGGGTGCGAAAAAAGTACCAAAATACAGTTTTTACCCGTTTATTCCCTAAAGGGGCCGAATTTTAAAAAAGTACCAGACACCTGTCCGTTTATTTTTTAAATGAACGGCGATAAGCTTTAAACTGTTTTTGTATCTTTTCTAGTTTAGGAGGTATAAGGTTACCGAATTTACCCGTTTTTACCCTTTTTTACCCCCTAAACATTCGAATTTCCAAAAATCCCGTCTTAGTGGATCTATTTGGTGGGAGACCAACCTCCTGTCCAAATTTCAGCTCTTTAGCTTCAACCGTTTAGGCTGTGCGATGATGAATCAGTCAGTCAGTCAGTCAGTCAGTAACGTTAGAATTTTATATATATAGATTAAAATGACCCAGTTTTATAAAATTATATAAAAACAAAATAAAAAATAAATAAACTGAGGGGAATATATTTATATAATAAAACATATTACATATTAATTTTCCAGTGGATGCCACTAATAAAGCTGCATCAATTACACCCTCATCATTAAATATGCAACCACAGGTTTCAATACAAGAAGATGGCAATACAACTGCAACTACAAATGGAGATATTGGCAATGGCAGTAATCATGCACCACCATTGCAGGTTTGTACAGAAAATGTCAAAATATCGCAGAGATGGGTAACAATGAAATAATTTCATGGCGTCTATTTTAGCAATTACGACAAAGTTCAAAAGACAGTACGGGTTCTTCAGATACCGACAGCTCAAGCGATGATGAATCTCTACCTAATACTACTCCAATTTTACCTAGTGGTAATGAACCGCCACCAGAAAAGGCCCAAAAGGAAACAGAAGCTGGAGCCGAAATTTCAGCTTTAGTTAATTATGTGCAGCCCATACATTTTAGCTCATTTGAAAATGCTGAAAGTAAGTTATAGTTCGTTTGGACTCCTAATAAATGTAGTTTTTTCTAAATTAAAATATCGTTATAGAGAAAAATCGTAATTATGAAATGTCCTCGTTTGATGAAAAACAGGCCACAACTTTATTAAAAGAAAGACCCATAGAATTTGTAAACTACAATAAACATCAATTGTCCAGAGTGTATCCTGCGGGCACACGTTTTGACAGTTCCAATTTTATGCCTCAGGTTTGAATTTATATACATTCAAAAAATTCGTATTTTTTTATAGAACTCTCGTAAAAAAACTTACTTTTAGCTCTTTTGGAATGCCGGTTGTCAATTGGTGGCTTTGAATTTTCAAACATTAGACTTGGCAATGCAGCTTAATTTAGGAATATTCGAATATAATGGCAGATGTGGTTACTTACTAAAACCGGAATTTATGAGAAGAACAGATCGCCGTTTAGATCCATTTGCCGAAAGCACGGTAGGCATTTGCAATGTCATTCTAATAGAACTTTTAATATTAAAAATTCAATTTTTAGGTTGATGGTATTATAGCTGGATCTGTTTCCATAACAGTTCTATCGGGTCAATTTCTTTCCGATAAGAGAGTAGGCACATATGTGGAAGTCGATATGTTTGGTTTACCAGCAGATACTGTACGAAAAAAATTTCGTACTAAAATTGTTCGTGACAATGGTATAAATCCTATATACGATGAAGAACCCTTCGTTTTTAAAAAAGTTTGTGAAAACATAGATTTTTAAATAATAAATAAATTGTTAACAGTCAAACATTTTTTACAGGTCGTTTTACCAGCATTGGCTAGCATACGTATAGCAGCTTATGAGGAAAATGGTAAATTCATTGGGCATCGAGTTTTGCCCGTCATAGGTTTGCGTCCTGGCTACCGCCACCTTAGTTTGCGCACGGAAATGGGTCAGGCTTTACCCTTAACATCGCTGTTTTTATGCATAGTCGTAAAAGATTATGTTCCCGATGACATCGCTATATTTGCTGAAGCTTTGGCAAATCCTATTAAATATCAAAATGAGCTAGAAAAACGTGACAAACAATTGGCAGTTTTACAAGAAGATACCGAACCTATAACTGAAGAAGATATAACAAATTCATGTAAGTTGTTTAGTATTATGAAATAACGATTATCATTTTAATTTAATTTTTTTTTTGTATTATTTTAATAATTTAAACATTAATACATTGATATAAAAATCACAACACTAATCTACAACTACACTCCCTGATCTCCACACACAAAAACATTACAACACCGGATAACCTAAAAACCTTTAAACCGAAACAAATAAATGTGAAACGATTAATCAATTCCCACAATTTGCAATATTCATCAACAATAGTTGTTTTTGTTCAAGTAGGTGGACAGAAGAAAGAACTGAAACCGGTAGAATCGAATACTATAAGTCCAAAACATAGATCTAGTATAACAGCGTCCGCTACTATGAGCGTGGAAATCTCGAATGCTAGAGATACCGCCGACTCAGCTAGTGCCACAATGCAGAGCATACAACATCAACATTCTCTCGATTCGACGGCTCCAACATCTGTCAGGCAAATTGAGTCATCCCAATTTGACGTAGAATCCTTAGCAGCTGAACCATTGGAAAAAATATTAGAACATAAAACGGTGCGCGAAAAACGCTTAGAAATGGAAAAGAAATTGGAATCCTTACGGAAGAAACACGATAAAGAAAAAGTGAAGATTTGTGGGTCCAAGTTAAGTCCTATGGACAGCAGTAAAAAGACTAAATTTGCTATAACCAATAAACTGGTGAAACGTTTAAGCAATAAAAACCTGTAAGTTAAAAACCTTATTAACTATATGATTACTTTACAGACCTTTACTTTAAAAACAGAAATTGTTTATTTGTCCACAGTGAATCGACAACCGAAGTTCCACCCTGTGCCATAGATTTGGGAGAAAATCAAGAGGAATGTTCCGGAGATACGATGCAAAGTTTGGAGGGTACGGTAGATGAAAGATTGCTGAATTCATGTCGACAGTACAGTCAGCAATATCGAGATTTGCAGAAAAAATATCATGAAGCGATTTATGCCACAGCTGAGAAGGTCTTGCAAGCATCTCAGGACAGTCAACTTAAACTTTTAAAGTCTTCTCTAGATAAGGTAAATAATGAAGTGATGCATCAACTGCGAGAGGCCAGAAAGGTGGAGGTTAAAAATTTGGCATTGGTTCACAAAGATAAAGATGAATTTGTGAGGTGAGTTAGAACAAAATACTAATATTTTTAAAAAGTTGACGGTAATTTTCTACTTTTAAAAGAATGAAGCGGGAAGTAAGAAGATCTGTGGTTGAGCGTGGTGTAGCCGAACGCACTCGGTTAATGGACGTATATAAACAACGCAACGAGGATTTACGAAAACAACATGATATAGTTAAAAATAACTTAATGGAACATAAGACAATGGTATAAATCGCTAAAACTAACACAACATTTAACTTACCCTTATCGATATGTTGAAAATTTATATTTTCAGGCCCGTCAAATAGTTGATAAAGAATGTGAATCTCGTACTTGTGTCACCACTAACGGTTTCTTGGTACTTTTTCAAAATACCTCTGCCACCTCCACCTGTACTTCTTCTTCTTTAAGTAATGATCATCACCATCATCTTTCCTTGGACATTGGATCATCTTCTAATAAATTAGCACTATCACCTGCCCGTTCAAATAGCAGTATATCCAACAGTACGGCAGCTTGTTCTGCCTCAGCAACGACTGTGGCATTGCCACATAAATGCTAAAAAATCTTTAAGAGAGCAAAACAAACAAGTTTTAACGTAATTTTAAATATAAACTAATTAAAAAAACAGTATTTATTGTTGTGAAAAGAAAAAACAGACGACGAAAACATTAAATGGTGGAATGTTAGTTGTAAAATTTATTTTAGAAAATAGAAAAAAGTTAAATATAGTCAAAATTATTTATATTTTTATAAGTTACTTTACACCAAAGACGTCACATACATAGACAATGGGTTCATATCGATCTCTTATCTAAGACTTAATAAAAAATGTGTTATCGTTGTATAACTAACTGTTTTCAAAAGTATAGGACATAAACTAAGTTAAAAAAAAAAAACAATAATTAAGTTGAAGTACCAAGCAATTTGTTAACATGGAAGTTTTATAGAATTCTTTTTTGATTTTAAATAAATATGATTTTTGGAATTTTTGGGGCTTAAATGGTTAATGAGAACTTTTAAAAACGTATTTTTTGTTATATATTTGTGTTACATTGCGAATTAATTTGATAAAATTACATGGAATAAGAATATTTCTGAAATTTGTTTTTTTAGTCCAATTCAAAATAAAATAAATAATAGATTTAACTGTTATATTTTATATACATTTTTTACTTAGCATTGCTTATAAATCTTCAAACACATTTACATGCATCTTTGGTGTAAAGTAATTGGTGTAAGTAGTTGAACTTTAAAACGGTTGAGTAGCTTTTATGTCGGTTTTAGAAATATAAAATTTTACATGCAGAAATTAAGATTTTACCAAAATTTTGATAAAACTGCTAAAACAGAAAATCATAAGAAACAAGTTGAAAATTTATTATATTTTTGAAGGCAAAATGATTAAAAATTAATAAATTTTCTTTTTGTAATATAAATGAATGTACGTACTCATATGTATCTGTAATCTCCAAAATTTGTTACCTTATTGTTAATATTATTATGTATAAGTATTAAGTGGAAAAATATCACAATAATGAAAAACACTATTTTTTGAAAAGTAGCAATAACAATTTTAAAGATAAATGTTCATCTCACCAATGTCTGGATTATCTTTTCTAGCTATGGCCGGATAAAGACAAACTTGACACTGAATAATAGGCCATAAAAAACATAAAACTTTAAATGTTTCTACTAAGATTAAAACTAATTTAAAAACATTTGGTTGTATTTATTTTTAGGAAAGTTTAAAAACAAAAAATCAGATCATTTGATTTTTAGTTTTAGATTCAAACTGAGGGGCTTAGTAGAATAGTTTGGTAATCTACAAAACTAAAATGTGGAAAATTGTTTATATTACATGCAAATTTTATGGAGTTATTGTATTTTATCACGTTCCTACAGTAAGCCCTTCATTTACATATATTATATAAAACATAACAAAAAATATATATAAAAATGAAAACAAACTAGTCTCATTTCCAAAACAGAAAGAATCTCAGATTAACTAGACGATGATGCTTCCCTTGTAGTTTTTGATCAAAAAAGCATTTTTTAATTTATGTTCAATTATAAAATTTAAAATTATCTGTTAAACTATATAAAATACTTTAAGTTAACCATGATATACAAAATTTATTGAACTTTAAAAAAATGTATATTATATTATACACACTTTAAGAAATTTGTGTAATTGTAAAAAAAATCTACTAAGTTGTTGTTATTATATAATTAATTTATTTAGTTTTTAGTTTATTATGTATGTTTATGTTTTTGAATATCCTGGTTTTAAATATATATCGTACATTAGTACTGACATACTTTTGCTATACACAGGAGAACAAAACGAAAGACTGGAGATTATAAGAGAAAACCATAATGTTGTAAGTTACTGTGTAACTTTTGTTCAGTTGTAAAATTATATTTTTTCGGAAAGTTTTCTACAGCAAATTTTATCGTACACATGTACAGTTAGTTATCTATACATTAACTTGCCTGTATTGAAGTTCAACAAGTTATGTGCACAATTACAGTTAAAAGTATGTGTAGATCCTGATTATATGACCGATTTTCCAAACTGCACACATTCGTGATCTTAGAGTATATTTTTCAAATTAATATAAAGGTTTCTCATGAGTTGAATAGAATTAAATATAGTTTAGCAGCTATTTAATTGGCCGGTCAATAATAATGCGTAAGACAATGTTTTTTATGTGATTTGCATAAGGATAGTAGTATACTAAACGTCAATTTCTTTAGTTTTCGCATTAGGTAGATAGTTTCTGTGCTTCAGACTCCAACGTATGCTAAGCATTTTCGCAGCCAGTCTTTATAAACTAAATACGGACATTAAACAATTTAAATTTGATGATACTCTATACAGAATTTCCTAATAAAAGAACAGGTAAAACTAATTAATCCTTAAGTTATCAGTAACTGCAAAAATAAAATAAACATATATCCTGTAAAATTAATATTAAGAACTCAGTAACTATTTCTGCAGACCTGTCAAGTTCCGTAGTCTTTTTTCTCAAACTCCTAAATAAGCTATGTTTGTGTACTATTTTTAATGATATTTAGTTTAAAAGTTATTTTTTAGTTGTTATCAATGTCATGCATGCCAAGTGTTTTCAACTCCAAAAACATACAACAAACAACAGTAAAAGCACAAATATTGTAAAGAATTTTTGTGATTATACATATTATTGTAACTCTAAACTTTTATAATTGTGTGTGATTAATTGTTAAGATTTATTTATTTATGACTTTTTAGTTTGCTTTTTTATGTAATAATGTTTTGTTTATTTTTTAAATAAATGTTTTCAACACAATCTATATAATAACTCTTTTACTCTATTATTCTATATTTATAAATCTTACTTTGAAGAACTTTTTATTCCAATCTACTACAACAAACTACATATATGTATATTTCTACAACACCAGCGTTTGATTGTACTTACAACTCTACAAAATTCCGAAAGACTGTTATTTTTACAACTCATCATATAAAAAAGTTTTTAAAATATTTTAACCCCTTTTAATTAAATATCCTTATGCAAGACAATCATAACGGAAACATTTTTTAAATACAATTTATACAGGTTTTATCTCTAAAGAACCTTGATGATAATATTAAATAACATTATACAAATACAAATACGACTTATAAAGCATCCCTAGTGTCTACTAAATAAATCGTTAGCAAATAGAACACTGATCACTAAAAGTAATTAATTAAGCAACAAATCTGTAAACTACTTATCATTCTCTGGACGGCAAACCACCTTAGATGTTGTAACTTGCAAAAACAAAATCAAACATAAATTCTTTAACCATATTATATTAGAAGATATTAAATAAAAACAGTAAATTATAACGTTATCAAATTCCATTTTATATGAAATTGTAAGGGTCGAGACAAATTTGTACTTAATTTTAAAGTTATATCGAAAGCGTTAGAAAGAATTCAACTTATTTAGAATGAATTTGAAAACGTTAAAATCCATTGGTGTTTTTAATTTGTACATTCATATATTTAATTATACAAAACGGACACATTAAAACTTATTCATAATGATTTTTATCATAAAATTTAAACTGAATAAAAAAACAATAAATTTTTCCTAGAAATATGTATGTGGAAATAACTGAGATTAATCACTATTATAAAAATTCGATGAATAAGTTACAAATTTAGTATTAAAAATTGGTGGTATAAAAAAACTTTAAAAGTTAATTTTAAAAGCAATAATGATTATTAAAAATTAATTGAAATAAATAATTAAGAATTCTTAAATATTTATTAAAAAATGGGTGTCTATATAAGTGTTTCTCAAATTGCATGATTTGACAAAGAAAACTGTCATATATATTAAAGTGTGTACATATAATATTTGTATGTGTTTTTGATTTTTTACGAATATTTATTTTTTTATATAGCGATAAATATCTAAGTGTTCAATGTTGTAGTTTTTTTTTACTCACGCTGTAAGTCGTTGTAATAATTGCAAATTTGATTGTTTAATGACAACATAAACAAGTAAAAGGCCGAATTTTATATAACCATAAATTTTGCAAAATTTAATCGATTTCCATTATCCAATTGTACTAACATTAAAAAAAAAAATCAATTTTTTCCGGACCTTCTAATAAACCTATTAAGCTATTAAATAGTTTGAATGTTCATATTTTGTTTTCCGATTTTGCAGGACCTTGAGGAAAATATACCTTAAATTTTTCGGAAATTCTCGGGAATTCCCGTTAACCCTTTCACGTACAAAACTAAATCGCTGGACTTTTTATGGATATGATTCCACGACACACTTTATTTTCACGTATATTTATCATTTTTGATTAAAAATGGAAAAAATGTTTTCAAAGAATATCGCAGGATATTATCCTTTTTAGAATGTAGTAATATCAAATTCTAAAAGAAATTTAGTTTTCTTTGGAAATAACTATTTACTGCAGCTGTGAACTCATAATTTCGCTCTACATCGAGAAAAATGTAAAAAAATCTTGGTACACCGGTATCCTGTATACATGGAAGAGTTAAAAATCTAAAACCGCTATTATAAGTAAATGCATAAAATCGTCTCTTGCTAAATATATGTACATACTTGTAATTCCTAAGCAAATTCGATTATTCAAAATCTTATTTACCCAGGAAAATTAGACAAAAAATTGAGCAATCTGGGGAATTTTAGACATTTAAATTAAAATTGGCACACATTTAGCTTCTTCTTAGCATAATTAATTAGTAAGGGATTAAAAGTCACCGAAAATCGTGTTCTATTGATAATTGAATTTCCTACATTTTGGTTGAAAAATATTTCTGCATATCATTAGTTGTATTTTTCTATTGCACTAATATTTTCAAATCTTATAATTTTAACGTCATTCAGAAGCCGTTAATATTTACTGATACACTATTATACGTCGTATATCAGAATCTATCTATCTATGACCCATAGTGCAATGTCTGTCTATCCATAATTTTAGATAGTCACCCCTATTCTGCATTTCGGTTACGTTTCCGCATTTAGTTACGCTACAATTGAAAATAGGTATTCCAACAAAAAACGGAATCGTTAGAAAAAGAAGAAGCAATTCCATTTCATTCCAATGCTTTACGATCGCGTGTATTCTGCATTACGATCGTAACTACATTTTTGTAAGTTGTTATTTCAGTGACGGAGCTTCGAATCGAAATGCAGAATACCAAAGTTGCGAAACCGAGAAAATTTCGATTCAAATGCAGAATAGGGGTGAGTATCACAGGTCATATTTATTATTAGAATTCGGCAAAATTTTATTAAAATCAGACTTCATCTTTAAATATTTTGTAGCAATTTTTGAATTTTCAAACGAGTAAAAACACTATGGTATACATTAATATTGGAACAAATTAAAGTCGGTTGCCTATATTAGAGCTAGATGAATTCGTAGTCTGATTTCAATGAAATATAGTGGAAATATTTTTCTGACTTTGTACATTATGTCCATTATTTTTTTTTTTTATTATATTAATAATTATGACCCCTATCGGAAATTTCGGATAGACGGACATTGTATTATGGGCCAGAGAGTGATGCTGTCATAAAAGATGTAACAGAAATTAATTAAGTATTTTTAGCTAATAACAGAAAGTAAAATTTCGACATAATCTGTATCCGAGTTAAAAATATTAAGATATGAAAATATCATTGCAATGAAATAAGAATGCACTATAACTCGAAAACAACTAATGTTATGCGAAAATAATCTTCAACTTAAATGTAGGGAATTTAATTCTTTATATAAATGGCATCAAAACACATGCGACGTTTAACAAGTGAGATATTCGTAGAAAAACAGATTTTTGTGACCTTTGACAGCCAATATCTCACTAAGCGCACATGATATTTATGGTGACTTTTAATACCTAATAAGAGTAAGGAGAAGCTACGAGCAAATTTTCATTTAGCTCTCTAAAATTCTGCAGCAAACCCCTTATTTTCCTGGACTAATTTCATTGATTAATTATATCTGTTTTATATGTCGTCATATCCCAAACATTTTTATATATTTTTTTCGGATATTTTGCACCGAACCGAAAATTTTATTAATAACTCACTCATATATGAAAATCGATGCAAAATAAACAAAAAAATCTATTTTTTGTGGTCCAAATATAAAATTGTTTGGGATTTGATGATATATTTTTTAAAATTCTCGTGTAAGCATTTAAGTGAATTTAATATAATGATAAGTTTCAACAGAATCTGCTCCGAAAGTGACTATTTTAGATAAAAATCAGATATAAAGAACTTTTTTGTGAAATGAATGTCGACTCTTTAAGGCTTACACAGAACTACTTCCGATTTTTAAAAGTCCGATCACAATTCATTGTACTCAACAGCGAATTAAAAATAATATGTAAATTTTTTCCTGTTTCAGTTCAATACAACGATCTAATTATTCTTTGCATAAATATGTATTTGTACCATTATAAAAAGTAAATTATGTATTGATATTGTTGGTGTTGTAAATATAGATGTTGTATAGTAATAATATTTGAAAAATAAAATATTCACCTAATAATTATTGATGTTATATGTTTGTTTTTTAGTATTAGACTGTGCCTTGATTTAGGAATCCTGTTTAAATTTTAAAAAAGTAAATCCATATTTGAAGTGTCATAAACCATAAATATCGTTCTATTTCTACGACTAAAACTTTTATTAACAAGTGTTTATAGATATTTATGTACCTCATTCCATCAAACCTTACACGTAAACATTAAACAAGTAAATAACTAAGTAAAATAAAAGTATCAATTTGGATATAAAAAGCAAAACATTATAGGAATAGATTCAATCAGTAATAACCGTATTTTATCGAAAATTGTCGGCCTTATTCATACGAAAACGTGCTGCTAACTTTCTGCTAACTTTTTTGTAAAGGAAAAATAGCAGCACGTTAATTAGCAGTTAGTTTTTATACCCACCATCAAAAAAGATGGGGGGTATATTGATTTTGTCATTCCGTTTGTAACACATAGAAATATTGGTCATAGACCCA